AAGTGATGGTTCAGGACTCACCCGATCCAGAACTAACTATAGGCTTTATCAAAAAGGAACGTTTTAACTTTTAACTTTTAACTTTAAATGCTGAGATGGGGTCTGCCTCCCGAACCCAGAGTGGGAGCTGGTTCCAAAGGAGAAGAGTCTGGTAGCTGAATGCTCTACCTCCTTTTCTACTCTTACAGACTCTTGGAACCACAAGAGAGCCTGTGTTTTGTGAACAGAGTGATCTATTTGGATAATACGGTGTTATCAGGTCTTTGATGTATGAAGGGGCTTGATTGTTAAGGGCTTTAAATGTGACTGTTGAGGCGTCCTCTAGGAAACTTTGTCCTCCATTCCCTTACATGACCTGGAAGCTGATATGCTGTGTCAGACTCCCTCTACTGACAGAAGACTGAACACCAACCTAAATTATCCAATGCATTTAGTTCATGAGAAAGGGACGTTTTTACCCTACCACACGCACAGTGCACTGCACAGGGTGTAGCGTTGTGTTCACCGCTTCTTTTTTGTGTCTGTTACTCAGGGTGGACCGTGCACGTTGGATAGTCGCTCTTACAGAGCACAAGCAGGCAGGTGCCGTCACTTCTAGAGGTGGTAAGTCAGCATGCTTTGTTCACTTATTCAAGTATGTCATTGATTGGAATATACTGAATGAAATATAAATCTGAAATGACGAAATTGACTTTGCCAGTGTGTTTGTGTCTTCTGTGATGTTTGTTCTCTTACCTCATGTGGAAAGAATTTATTTGTCATGGAAGCCTTCAGTGTGTGGCACAGATAACAGATGGTTTTCATTCGTTTTCCAAGTCTGTAACTATTCACTTGATTCTCAGGACTTCTGTGGTATTTAAGTTTATTTTTTTCCAATTTGTCCACAGGCCAAATATGATGAAAACACAAAATGTTTTGCATGATCTAAATATTTTTCTTCTGAGTGCATGCCGTCATGATGCTCCCTGTAAAAGGCATATTTAAAGAATAACCCTCAGACTGGCAGCACCTGGACCTTGTTAAGATCCGTTATTAACCTCTGTCCTGAGGGATTGGATCACACAGGTGGTCAGCACTAAGTTCAGGTCTTATAGCACCTGGATTTGATCACTCAGACATTCTGAGGTCTAGGAAGCACGTAGGCCACAATCTTTTCGCCATCTCTTATCCCTCACACTGACACACACAGATATGAGACAAATCTGTAAACTCACACTGGTCTTTGGTCATCATACACAAATGGCATGTTGATTTGCATGTACAGTGCGGAAGTGAGATTTGATCACAAGTGGTCACAGCAGACACATTCAGGATGTATTTAATACGTGTGAACACTCACTTAGCACTGATCACATGATCGGATCACTCAGGACGGATGTTAATACCAGGTCTGAACAGTGTCAGTGGCCTATTGTTTGTGTGTTACTGACGTCCTTATCAAAGGGTGTGCCTTTCCAGGAAAAATTACACATCCTAGGAAGTGATGCAGTGGGCTGAAGATTCAACAGGGCAGCAAAGGATGTTCATGTGTTCATGAGCCTTCACAGAAAGTCATTCACAAAAAATTCATATAAAGTTCTGAAAACAGAAACAAAAACCCTGGAATACATAGAAAATATACCATATGCAACATAAAAGCCTTTTTTTCCCCACCACATAGTAATATGGGAATGTTTCAGGTCTGCCACAGTACGAGGCCACTAAAGCCTACATGCCAAAGGAGCCAGATGAGCTGGGGCTGAAGCAGGCTGAGCTTGTTATCGTCCTGCAGAAAGAAGAAGGTGAGGCCTTGGTTGTCAGTCCAGTCATTCCAGCTCAATGTCCTTCCTTCTACAAATTATATTTAAAGAACATGCTGCAGTGCTCAAACAATCTTAAACTGTCTGCTCCTTCCAGACTTTTGCTATGGGGAGAGAATGCGAGATGGCGAGAGAGGCTGGTTTCCAGCGAGCTGTGCCATGGAGATCACCGACCCGACCGCCATGGAGAACAACGTGCAACGCATGAAGCGTCTGCGCAAAGAGACCAACGTTTAAATGTGACTGTCATTGACATAATCATATCACCAAGTAGAGGGGATGGAGAAGAAAACACACCTTCCAGTAGATTTGTGATGCTCACCATGTTCAGTTTTTGTTGACTGCATTGCAGATGAATAACATTGGACACAGGGATAATATGAATTACTGTTACAGTGGTTCAGAATTCCTTTAACAGACTGAAAAGCATTTTCTGGGATTTATATGCAGTTTAAGAGGCGTTTAATCCCAGCCTGGTGCTCCAGTGGTGTGTGTATACAACTGAGCCATGAAGGTTTTGAGTGTAAGTCCAGTCAGCGTCAATGTTTCGTGTTGCCCTTTAATGGTAAACTATCCCAAGTAACTATATTAAAACAGGACTGTCATTTTGAATAGGAAGTTTAATCTCCAGAGAAACTACTTCTAGTTTAGCTGTTTTTGTTCACCCACACTTAGTCCTGCAAATGTATCAGAAACTTGCAGGAGCAGGATTTTTAGTGGCCAACAGGACATTTCACTCAACTTGAGCCACAACAACCTTTTACGTTCCCGGAAACACATCTTAACTTACAGGCAGTAGGAAACAATCCACCACAGATGTGGCCTTAGGTTTTATTTCAAATCTAGGAGCTACACATTGTAATTGTGCCTGCATACTGAATAGTATGAGAAGCTACGTCTAGAAATTATCCAAGTGTTAATCATGTTTAAATTTCTGTGCATCACATTGTGTTGGTGTCAAACAAATTGTTGAGTTTCTTTATAAACCAGATTTTGCTAAACATTTTAAAATATAGTTTGAAATAGCTCACTGGGCCTTGGTTGCATTTGGTGGATTACTAAAATTTACTGCATTGTAAAAGGTTATGTCCAAATATATAAATAAATTAACTAAAATACCAGTCTACTCTGTAAATGAGCCAATAAATGTGGTTTGGAGCCAGTGCAAAAGAAAAATCACAGTAGAGACAGTTTCCTGGTTTCTGGACTTTTATTTGAGCTTGCATTTTGTTAAAATGTTTGAATACATAAAAAGTTATTTAAAAATGTCAAACTGACCAGATATCAAATTCCATTTTTTTCTTTAAAAACCATTTGGTGTAAAAACTTAGGACACATTTAGAAAAACATTTGCTGTTTCCCCGAAACGTTTGTAGCTGTCACATAAAAATAATGGAAAAAAAACAAGTCTGCATAGATTCTGCAGGCAATCGGTGGTAATCTGGTCAAATGCATGGTGCAAGCTTGTGACGTTCGTCAAGTCAAATCTTTATTGCTCAGATCTTGTTGATGTTTCTTGTTGACAAAAAAACTGTAAAAGAAGAAAATGGGTACATTAGTCTGTTGTGTGGAATTTTCACATGACAGTAAAATAAGTTTAGTCATCTTTTAAACATAAGTAGCTTGAAAATGTGCTTCATCTCCAGATAGATAAGAAATCTAAAACTATTGCTCATACGGAAGTCAGACAATGGCCAGTAGGCTTTATGGTGCCAGTTTCCTTTATCAAATCCACTGCATTAGCCCATTAATCACAAAGCCAAATGGTACAAATGACTGAGCTAGGCAGTCTTAAATAGATTAAAAGCATCTTTCAGCAATTACTGATATTGTATGTTTCACTATTCCCAGTATCCATCGTCTGTATCCTTAACTGTCAGCTCCAGATGAAGAATGTAGAATAATAATGCAGCTAAAGCTATGGAAGCAAAGATCAGCCACTGTGGACTCACCCGGACGATGGTAAAAGATGGTAGGTGCCGGTGGGCAGTTTTCTTCCTACTCAGCCCCACCCTGCTGGGCCTCGGGAGCGGACGTCTTCTCTGCAGATGGGTCACCTCCTGCCTTGGCCTCCTTGGTTTCCTGGCCGGGCTTGCCACCAGTCTGTGGGCGTCTGCGGCGGTAGTTGAAGTTACGGCGGTAGCGACGCTGGCGGGGCTGTTGGTCCTGACCACTCTCACTTCCCCGATTCTCCTTGTCCTCCTCACCGTCCCGCACCGGTCTGGGACGGGGTGGACCCCTGCTGTGAATAAGAAAAACAAGGCTGTAGCACACATGAAGTCAAAGAGGAGCTGACATCCACTGAGGTGAGATGCAGTTTTTTTGGTAATACAATAAAAAAAAATTAATGTGAGTCAAATTTGAATGCACAGCTGCTCTTTGAGGTTAGGCTGCAATAAAGGGAGAGCTTTTCTTGCCAAAACAGGTGGCATTTATTATTGATACTATAATTTTTTTTTTTTCTGAAGATAAATTCCATTAAGAGGGCGTGAGACTAGAATCCAGAAAGCCCAATGTTTTACTCTCCCACTATTGCAGCCCTGCGTCACTGAAGCCAACATGCAAACCTTGGTCTGAACCTTGGTCGGAAGCCTCTGTAGTAGTTCTGCCTCGCTGGTTTGTTGCCCTGGTCTGGTCCTCCCTGGTTTTCGTCACCCTCACCTCCCTGAAAGCAAACATATGATACTGACAAACAGCTTTATCCGGAGTCTGTTCAGAGGCAAACAGATGTATGGAGCTTTATGACGTGTAGTTTGAAATGAAAATGGCCACGCCGCAATTTGAGTTGAGGGGCCTATTTGAGTTAGTTTGCTAAAATATTGGCAGACCCCCGATACACCAAGATTAATTGTTCACAACCACGTGAGCTTACAAAGGAGAGTGTTCAGAGTCGAGTATGACATCAACATATCAAGAGTCACGACTGTTACTGGACAGCTGGGTGCCTGCTTCAGGATGGTAGACCTGTGCCTGCGTACCTCAGTCATCTCTCCGCGTATTGCGTTGGTATAAGGGGGCCGGCGGCCGTAGCGTCTACGTACAAAGTATGGCGGGTAGCGCCGTCTGCCAGGGTAAGCGGGTCTGCGCTGCTGTTGCTGCGTTTCTCCTTCCGGGGCGCTGTCTCCCCCGTCTCTGCTGCCTTTGTCACGACCACCACTGCTGGGCTCACCCTCTCCATCACTCTGGTAGTTCTCTGGGTAGTCTCCACCACGGGGAGGGCCCCTCCTTCTGGGATAGCGCCTATAGCGGTTCCTGTCTGCGGCATACTTACTCCCCTGGACTGCAACGCCTCCTGGGCCGGTGACATTTGCTGCCTCTGCTCCCTGTGCACAGCAGAATTGTTTTAAGAAATGTAATTAAAATGTAATGTAAGTTAATCAGTTCAGCAGATGCATTTTTAGAAGCTGCAAATTAAAAGCAGAACTTTGCACCTAGTCACCAAAGTATATTTTACCTTCTCTCCCTCAACTACATCAAACTCCACAGTTTCTCCATCTCCAACACTGCGAAGGTATTTCCTTGGGTTGTTCTTTTTGATGGCTGTCTGAAAACGTTGAGTTCAGAAGTGAGATTTTATAAATACAGAATGTTTGAGGGGGGAAAAAAAGACGAAAAATAAATAAAAACTTACCTGGTGTACAAAAACGTCCTCTTTTGTATCATTCCTAGAAAGAAAGAAAAACGTACTCAGTTACTTCTAGTATAAAATATCCGGCTGCACCACATAATGCCATGATGCATATAGCAACTGAAGTATCAGGGTTTATAAGCACTGCATGTAACAACGTATGGAGACCAGCAGACAAATCGTCTGGTTAGCTTTGTAAGCAAATCAAAGCCATAATAGGATTGGGAATGTTCCTTCCTACACTCACACAGATGATATCGGGGAGGTGGGGGTGGGGTTCACTTACCTATTGATGAAACCATATCCATTCCTGACGTTGAACCATTTCACTGTACCCAAGACTTTTGTTGCTGCAAAGAGATACGACAAACCTGAATTATTTAGGAGGTAGAAGAGTGAGTCGCTTCCTTTCTGTTAACACTGCTGAGATATCAGAAAAGCTCCAGACAGGCTCATCAGCGGCCTGCATACAACTGGTATTTAACATCCGTCCTGGGAGATCCGATCACAAGTGGTCGGTGTTAAGTACGCGTTAAAATGCGTCCTGGAAGTGTCTCCCGTGTGTTCGGATCTCACTTCCCCGCTCGACATTAAAATTGGCATGTACGTCATTTGTGTTAGTCAAGACCAAACGATGTTGTTTTGAGCCGGTCTAAGTTTACACGTGTCAGATGTCACTGTTTGTGTGTGACTCCGCACGCTGAGTGAAAGACAGTCTGAATGAATCACGTGCAGCTCTGAAGAAAGAATTTCAAGTATAGATCATTACGTCGTGATCAGTGCTGATTACAAATAAATCAACGAGAGACAAATGCGTTCGATTCGTGGTGAAACTGCGGTGTCTCAGAGTACGACAGCTGAGATTTACGTTCACACCGCTAAAAGAATGTGGTCTGGCGTGATCGGATTGCCATCCGATCTGAGTGCGTTCACACTTAGAGCTGTCCACTTGTGATTGGATCACACAAACCACATGTTAATAATAGCGGGTTTGTGCGGGGCCAGTGTTTCACGAGGCCTCCACTGACGAGAAACAGTTGAGGCGTCAAATAACGACAGATGATGAAAAACTAAGCATGGTCACAGATAATGTGGAAGTTATATTTAACTCCCAACTGTCGACCTTTTTATAGCCCCTGGTACTTGGGGGGGTGTCCAGTGCCAGCTGCCCATGGTGTGTGGACAAGATAACCGAAATGTTTAATCGGTAATGATCGCGCCACTTATGTCATAATATAGACGACATTTTACCCGCATTGTCGGTGCCTGCGCCCTGTGGAGCAAGGTCCACCGTGGTCACTGACGGGGTTTCAAAGTTCAACCGCCACAGACCTACTGCCCCATTTTGAGCCGCACTGCTCACAGCCTGAGCGAGCACACGTGGTACGAGTCGCGCCCGGAGACGTTAGCAAACTGAGCTCAGCTGGCTTGTTAGCATTAAGCTAACTGGGTCTCAACCATGTGGTTGGATTAGAGCCAGCAAGCGGAAATGACCGTAACACATCAGAAAGCGTTTACGGTGACCTGGAGTATTTTAATAATTAATATGAATGTGTCACTGGTCTAATTGTTTACTGTGGGAAAATAACTAAATCGCTTTAGAAGCCAGTGGAATCATGCGGCGGACATTTTGGGTGGCCCCATCAGCCATGTAAATAGCTAACATTAGCCCGTTTGGCTAACACGGGTTCGTTAGCCAACGAGCTACATTGCTTAAGTAGCTAGGCCGCAACGATAGCCCTCAAATTCCCTCAAAAACCCTCAACCACTGACTGATAAATCCCCGTGTCCAGAAGAAGACGGGTTTGATTTGACCGGCTCACCGCCAGCACTATACGGAACTTTCTATATATTTTTCGGCTATTGTAAAGAAAAAAATATCATCGTGGAACCGGGTTCTCGTGTGAACAAAGGGACTAGCAGCTATCGTTAGCTTGCACTCGACGGCAGCAGTAGCCGGTTAAACGAGCAGTGTGCAGTAACTAGCTTCGACACTGTTGGACGGTATTAATGATGGTTACTCCATCGACGTCAACTACCGCTGCCCGACAACCTGACGCACAGACGCGGCTCATTCTAACAGCTGAGCATCACTTACAGCGGTCGTACATGTGACGGCCAACCGGCAACATGGGACTCTACGGCGGATTCGGATCGTGGGGAGGCCGGTGAACACACTAAATTCGGATGGACATTTTTTTTTACCCATCACATTCTCTCATTTTAAAACGTAATTAAAACATAATTCATCACTGACAATATCACCCTTCCTTCACACGTTATTTGACAGCGAGGAGAATTTGATTTTACTTTATTACAGATAAAACCTCAAATGGCCACTTAACATTGATCACCACAGACATCCCACATACCTATATCTATAACCATGAGAAATCAGTCTTCACTAAACCAAAATTAACTTGAACCGCCAATTCCTTAAATGCAGTGCTACTTTAAGACAATGTCGATTTATCATTTGTATCAAATTGTTAATTAAATCAACCGTCGGCTCGTAAACATTAACAACCGCCGCATTAGCGCATCAACTGGGTCCCAACCACGTTAGCCATGTTAGCTCACAGGCTAATTTCCCGTAGTCTTACCGATGACCTTCTTATCCGCCGTGGAAGCTGCGGCTTCCGGGCTGGATGGGCTCTCCGCATCGGCAGCAGGCTGCGGCGGTGGCTGTTGTTGCGTCTCGGCCTCGCTGCTCATGGTTACTATTGGTTGGTAATGGCTTCTGCCGGCGGCGGCTCTCTGCAATGTTTCCCGGTGCTAGATGGTAACCTGGGCCGGCGGTGGTGGGGGCTACTGCCTTCGGGCTCTCAGCTTTCCTCTTTCCGCTCCCGTTGCCGATCTAACTGGGCAGAATGTGAAGCTGTGCCGGGCAATGTTCTCGTCCGGGGTCCCGCCCAACGACTCTTGGGATTGGCTGGACTCGTTGACAGCGATCAAACTGCGGCTCCATTGGTTCAGACAGCTGCCCGTTTCCCACGAGTGACGCGTTTGCTAAATGTGATTGGCTACGGCACAATGTACCTGTCTATCGTCACCGCCCCGCAGTGATGTCACAGCCAGACGAGGTAGACGGATCACCGCGACTCTTTGGGAACAGAGTGTCTGCTTGTCTGCAATATGTTACTCTTCTGATGGATTTGAACAATCTGTACAATTATGTTCAAAATCAGGACGACTAGAATGATAATACAGTCACATCTATTTAAAATGGCGTCGCGAAACTGTCTCAAAACACAACAAAAGACATCGAATATATTTTAATGTTTGTGATGTGAGGGGAAATCAGGTCTTCACCTCATTTGACTTGTTGCCATCTGTCCATCGAGATGCAAAATTAAAGTGTAATTTCTCAGAGTGGTCCCTCAGTCCATGGAATATAATTTTATTTATTCTAGTTGTTAAATAAAGGATAAATAGAAGGGTTGTTTGTATGGCTGCCTTCACTTATGTCAGAATATTAAGCATATTGCTGTACAATATATTAATCCCCACATGCAGCCCAGAAATATATCAAATGACCTAAATTAAGGGATACATCAGGAAAGCATACATATTTAATTTACTGAACATTTTGTTCATGTTACATAATATTTATGATCCTGATGAGCTCTCACAGTTTCACTGGTTTTACCTCTCAAACATAAACCATGGAGGCTTTGAGAAGAGAGCTCATTTTGATAAACTGTACAGAACATCAAGTTCTCACCAGTCTAGACAGCCTACTATTGTCTTTCTACACAGCCTGCTGTCACAGCAAAGAGAACATATGTGTTCACCAAGTCATAACAGATAATTCAATGATTTCATTGTTTAGATGTGATAATATAATTTACATCAATAAATGACATTTTTAAACAAAGGTCATTTTGGGACACTGTACGCTCGATGAATAATATCTGCAATTTCCCTTTAAAATTTTAAACACCCTAACATATGACTGTTTCTTGAAAGGATTCAGGATTCACTGGTAGAATATTTTAAACTATCAGTCCTACTTTCTATGACTTGCTACATGATCACCCCTCTTGAATTTTGTAACGCTCAAAAGCTCACATAAGGACACTGAATCCTGATGTAATACACACACATTGTCCAGAATAATAAAGTAGTTAAATGCTGTCGTTATCCTGAGTGAGTTCAGAAACTCCACTTCCAGTAGCACAGGCAGACATAGACTCACATGAGTGTGAGGACACCCCCCCCCGCCCCCCACCCATTGTCATGTTAATGCTCCACTGGCACTGTTTATGAGCACTGGCTAATGGGTGAAGAACTTGGTGTTAATGGCCGAGCCCCATTCTCCCACACAAAGATGGGCTTTAGCATTGACCCCAGAAAGGCTCCCCACGAAGAGAACCCCCCCCCAAAAAACCAACCTTCTTCCTGCCTCCGTAAGAACAGAGCCTACATCTGAAAGGATTCTTTTGTGCTTATAGGGAACGAAGTCCAAGGCAGGAGAGGGAGAGCGTGGATGGGGGAGGGGATCTGGAGGCTAAGATTTGTATGGATGGCTGGGACAAGACGAGGTAACCGTAAGTTCAGCAGAGGATGCCTTGGCACCGCAGTGTATGCCTTTGAGGACTGTCCTCTTTTGCCGCAAAGTGTTTTCCTCCTCTGCACCAGAGAGGCGGAGATTGACTATCCCCATAGAATCTGTTACTATAATTGTCTAATCAATTCCTTGATAAATTAAATCTTTTCCCAAGCCATAGAATCAGGAAAAGATCAGTTTTTCTCCAAGGTCACAAACACGAGGAAGAGAAAATAAGAAATAATTACATTAGACAATGCACATTACACTGGGTACACAATGTTCCCGAAATGCAATGTGGAACTCAGTTTCCAACCATGGATATGCATTTTAAATACACATTAAGTGAATTTAAAAAGACAAATAAAAATTGATCTAATAGATTACAACATATTTTATGTTTTGCTACCCATTTGTAATTGGTCTTATGCTCCATCACTACTTGTGGCAAAAACATTTAAACTGATGGACAGCAGTCCTTGTTATTGCTGTGATGTCCTATCTAATATTCTCATGCATACTTTAAATAGTATGGACATGTTTACTGTTTGGGGATGAGGAAACAACATTAAAAATTAACATGACAATGTTAATGTATAGATTGCTTTTTTAAATAAACAAGATCGCTTCAAACAGTTATAAAAAATGTAAAACAATTTATTGAAAATAAGTGAAAGTGTGTTTAAATTTCAGTCACAGGACACACAAATTGTCAACCACATGAAGTTTCAGCGAATTAATTTAAAACCCACATGACATCCTTCAGGTACCAACACCCACCTGATATGCAGCTCATCTTATCTGGGTTTAGAAGCAGCTATCAAGTGGGGATTAGGTCGAGGAAAATTGCCAAATTGATCGAATTAACTTTATAATGTCATTCATAGAAAAACATTTGTAGATTGACATTTGCTGCGGTGCATCCAACAACATTTAGACACAGCTTCATGTTTACAGAGGATGTGTAGCTTTTACACTGGTTGTTGTGAACAAGCTGATCACATCTCTCCACACTGCGCGATGACGATGGGAAGTTTGGGCTTGTTGTTGGGCCCCGTGGCGACATGCTGTTTGGAGGAAGGACAAAAATTTCAGTGAAACAAAATCAATCACGTAAACACCTAACTTCAAGAAATGTCAACGACTGGATTTCAGTCACAGGTGGAAGGTTCAGCTATGAAATATTTGCGTTTTAAACATCAGCATGGAGGTGGTAATATTAAAAAAAATAAACAGGCATTTATGATACATTCTGACATTGATGTTAGGGATAATGAAACAATCAAGAGGACATAACAAATGCTGGCACAGCTGTTAGAAGCTAAATATATATATATATATACCACCTTACTGTCTTTTTCTTATTAATCTAGTCAGTGTACAAATCAGTTTAAAATGTCTTTTGATTTATTCCTGGAATCATTTTAACAAACATATAACATAAATTAATATTGAAATGAGTATTTACCTCAATTTTTCTCACCATCAGCAAACCATCCACCACTTTTCCTGAAACAGTTGAGAACACGACAATTAAACTCTGGCACATGAACGAAGCTCTAAATTAATGTTAATACAAAATGAATATTCAAGACTTACCGAAAACAACATGCTTCCCATCTAACCAGTCACATTTAGTGCAGGTAATGAAAAACTGACAGCCATTTGTTCCTGGACCACTGTTTGCCTGAGGAGCATTATTTGGGAAGATTAAAGTCAGACTACTGAGAAATAAAAGCTTTAAACATATTAATGTTGGGTCTAATTCACTCTGAATCTATCAATCAAATCCTATTGTCTGATATAATGGATTAATCACATCCTAAATAACTTTTTACTTTGTGCAGTATAATACAGGTTATTCAAAATGACTGTAGGAAACGCCTGTCTTGATTTGGTTAAAGTCCAAGTAAATAAACCCTTTCCAGATTCAGGAGTGCCCCTGACTTCAAGATTAATCTGCATACATACCATCGACAGAAGACCAGGCGTGAAGTGCTTCATTTTGAAGTTTTCATCTGCAAAGGGACCCCTATAGATGCTGCAGATACCAGTGCCATCACCCTTCATAAAAGACAAGCAGGACGTAGGATAGGACTCACAATGAAGAGGGCTGAACACTGCAACTGTTTCGATGTGCTGTAATTCAACACGCTTCCCCCAGAGGGTGACAGAACAACGTTTTTTCCTCCAGCTCCGTTCAAACATCATGGCAAGGTTTATACAGTTTAACCAGGAATGGCAGATAGTTTTATTGCACTACTTGTGCAGTGTAAAATTACAGAGCAGCTGATTTGCACACACACTAGAGTCATGGTGTATTAATTTCCAATTCATCACTCTTTTTACCTATTGTCTACTGCTTTGATTTTTGCACTATTCCTAACTTAATGTCTGCTGTTTTTAAACTATGGAAGTAGACATACAAACAGATACTTTGTCTTTGTACGCATACAGCGAAGGTTGTTGGGTGACTCTCATAACATCAGCAGCAGTAAATAGTACATTGAGAGCAAAGCTAATCTAGAGTTTAATTTCCTGTATATGCAGAGATACCTGGCCAATAAGACTGACTCCAATAGTTCTGCAAGCATGTTGAAGGAGTGTGTAAAAAGCTACCGTGATGCAAGGTGGCTGAGCTCAGAGACATACAGAACAAACCATCTGCTGAAGCAACCTACTATACATTCCTCAGGGTTTTGGTCTTAGTATAGAATATTACATATATATGATATGAATATTACAAATTATTTGAGTAGTTCAGTGTTGCATTAATTCAAAATATGCATGCAAACAAAGACAGATACTAAACATTACCCCTTGAATGACTCTGTGACATTTTCCCCCAGAGGTGACATGAACATGATGACAGCAGATGAGGTGTGCATATACTTACGTTTACAAAGTCCCCTCCTTGTATCATGAAACCTTTGATCACCCTGCCAATGAACAATTGAAGACATGTGTATAAATTTAGCTTAAGCGGAGTAAAAGTTCACCTTTGGTAGAAGATTAAGCCGGGCAGTCTGAAAAGTAGTGATACAGTACCTAGCATTCATCTTTCTCCGTTCATCACTCACCAACAAACCATGTCGAATAAAAAATAAAACTTTCAAAGAAGGTGAATGCTTTTTAAAGAAACTGTGATTCCCACAAAGCACTGCAAGATAGGACCCCTGTTAATTAAAAAAATCAATGCTTTCCACATTTTGTTGATTTGCTCATTCTAGCACTTCAGGACTACCAACAGGCTCTGAAATATCATGTGTTTAGTAATTGTAGTAGAGAGTTTGCTATGTTTGCACAATGTACAGCAAATATTCAGTGGATATAAAATACCAAGCCTGAATAAAAATCAAGTGAAAATCTTTGCTAAATGTGCTGTTATAGAAACAAACTTCAAATGAGTGCCTCTACAAAAGAAAAAAAATACTGGATAGGAGAGGATGTTTAAATACCAACTTTAAAAATCTTAGGAGGTGGTAGGTTTCTAGATGAGTTGACATGATTTTGAAATAACTTTATAAAATAAAGAAAACAAATAATCTTTCCAACATCTGAGCACAAGGTGAGCTTAACAAAAAAAGCTTGTACCTGTGGAATGTGCAGCCTTTGAAACCAATCGGGACCCCATCCTTCCTGTGGTGCAGATGTTTTAAACAGAACAAATTGATGTTAACCATAAAGATAAAACCAGAGTATATAACATGAGAAGCTATAACCTTTAAGCAAGTAGGCCTTTCTATGTGGCTTCATTTTTGACAGTAAACAGGCCTCGGGTCAATCAATACACACAAGGCTGCAGGCAGATACATGTCGGCTGGCAGCCATCATTTGGAGGATCCTGCTATCCTGGAGCTCTGTCTGAGGTGTTCATGACAACACACTTGTATCACAGTCTACACCCCTCGAGGGAAGAGTGCTGGCATAAGGAGCACTTGGTACTGTTAAATGGTGACATGTCCCTTCTATAATTGTCCAGCATGCAGGGCATTTAAAAGCTTCCTACTCTGGAGGTTTTGTACTCCTGGCCCAACAACTCCATCCCTGATCGGGCATCTGTACCATGAAGCGAGAAGCTGGGTGGGGGACTAAGTGGTATCACAAGCATGTGGACTTAAAACTGAGAGAGCTCTCCATGGCAACCATAGACGATATAGCTATAGAGATGGATGACATGGCAGCGAAAGGCGAAGCCAAATCATCCTGATTCCTCCCTGGTGGCTGGCTGCAGTATAGGTCATAAGCCCAGCCTCCTGTGTTTTTGGATGGGAATTTCACCAAACTAAAAAAATCAAAGTACACATCAAACACATTTTTCTCAGAGATGGTTTATGTCATTGTATGTTATATTTTTTGCAGCTTTAAAAACATCATGAATGAAAGCTGAGACTGACTTGTGATTGGTCAGGCACGTGTATCGGCTATATCATCGCTCCTATCCCAATCACTACTGAGCTAACTCTGGCTGCAAATGATGTCAAAAACA